TGCCCCCTGTCTTTGCATCCCTTCTGGAAGGGTCTTCGTTCTTCCGCAGGTATCTATCCTTCCATACCTGAAGGTCATCTTCGTTGCTTCGATCTGTTGTTTTTGGTGCGTCACATTCCTGGCCGGCGTCTTTCACTCCGTGACTCTGGTCACGAGTTTCTGTGTTGCGTTTGTCCCCTTCAACGTCGAGGTTGATAGATCTCTCATTCCCAGTAGTAGCGTTGTCTCCAGTCTGATCCTTCTGTTCGTCATTGGCCATCTATTCTTCTTTCTTTCCCACAGACGGCGCCAAATTGTGTGGGTGATTTTCCGACCACACTGCCCGCTTAGTAACCAGCTGGAGAGCACTGGCAGAATAGATGGCACCTGACTGACCTGTAACAGAAATATAAGAATCCCGCGGTGGTTTCGACCACCCGGGGGCACTCCGACGATCAAGTCAGTATATCTCTCAAAGATAAATCAAGTACTAAACTCACAAGCTTGAGTATCAAAAGCATACCTTAGACCCATGGGGGTGCCTCTCTTTTATAGCCAACATAAATTTCATGTTGTTTTTTGAAAAGGGTTTGATTTTGCCACTTAACACAGTGGGCTTAAAGCTTTGCGAATTTGCCACTTGACAAAGTGGGCTTAAACGTACATTCAGTGAATCATTCCAATTCAAGCAACAAGCCTTCATCCACAGGCACTCAAACAGTTTAACAAGTAAGCACTTAGCCTCATGGCAAGCATGCTAGATATGGCAATCACTCACACTTATGCAAGTATGCTAAAGCACTAAAAATTCACCTAGTACTCCAAGCTAAGATAAAAAAAAAATAGTTAGAAAAATGCATAATTCCTAACTATGCAAAATGGCTAATGCAACGCATGCAAAAAAAAAAAAAAAAAAAAAAAATCAACATAAAAATTTTTGAAAAAATTAATACCAGACAATCAAACTGCCACATAATGCTACTAAGGCTGATCCAACTTATGTAATATGAGACCAGCCTATAAAATTTTAAGGTATGAATAATATAATTTTAAATTTGATGGCCGAGCATCATTGCTCAGTGAAAAAAATACTAAAGATTCTAAGTGTTATGTATAGTTGATTGCAGTAAATTAGAATGCGATGATTATTCTATCAAAATATTTATTCTTATGTTTGATTTATTAAAAAAGTAATTAAAAAATACATTATAGATGAAATCATCATTCATCATCGTAAATAAATAATCATTTTATAAAGAAGCTAAGGATAGATTATTCCATTCTAATTTACCTTTATTCCAATAAGCCAAATAGTAGTTTGGAAATATAAATGTTGAGCTTAAAAATAATTAAGAAAATTGGCCAAAAATCTACCATTTGGAATCTTTTGTGGTAGAGAGGTCCAAGGAGTAATCTTTGTCACCTGCACCAAAATACACACCCACTAAAAATCCTTCATCTCCCAAAACTCTTAACTGTTGAACTCTCACCGTTGAACTCAAGCTTCCTCTCACTGTTGACAGAGCTCCACCGTTGATCTTTGTCATAGGCGATATTTCACAATCAATCTCTCTTCGCCGTCGATCTCTCACAGCTAATCCCTCACTACTGACCTCTCTCCATCGTCAATCTCTCTGTTGCCATGTTCGATCCTGTATTGTCAAACAAATTACCTATGCTTGAACCTGTGTTACCGAAAATTACAAAAACGTAAAATCTTATGTCTGTGAAGAAGTTTGACCCATCAAAATTTAATAAATAAAGATAAGCATGCATCAATTAGTTTGATTAACAAATAAAATTAAAGTTTATCGCTTAACCAAAACATAAATATGTATTAAAGTTACATCCAAAGTGCCAAACATACGAATAAAAAAGTTTGGACCCAAAGTGCCAAACATACGAGGGTGTGTAGGCTTTGAAGGTTTTGAAATGTGTGAGTGGTAATAGAGATGGATGTTCTCATAAACCCTATATCATGATTTAGTGGATGGGTAGAAGGATTTAATTGTGAGATAAAATGTCCCAAAATAATTTGTTATTCTTAATAATTTCATTTGAGTTTATTATTATAATAAAAAATGAAAGAAATGTGGGATCCAAAGTATTAATTAAGGTGCTAATAACAACTTTGGCTGACAAATGTCTGTACACTTTTTCTTCAGACTTCCATTATCCACAAACAATATTATCCTATAATAAAATTCCATTGTTGGTTAATCCAAGGGTTGTTTTGGGAAGAGGATTTTGTAGGTTGAGATTATGGTTCATACGCAAAGAAAAAAAGAGGAAAGAAAAAGAATAGTAGTTTTGGTGATTGAAGTTCCAAAGAAATACATGGGGCATTTAGCAGCACTCAAAAATCTAGCACTTAGGATTGAATGTTGGATAAGTCTAAAAATTAAACCTCTGCCCCGGAAAATGATGTGTAGCTTTGATTTCTAGTGTGTCACTCAGCATTCATTATAAATAAATATATTTTGAACCGGTTAGTGATAATAATAAAAAGTGAATTAATCAATTGGGTCAATAGAGAAATATAGACACGTAGAAAAAAATAGAATATGAAAGGTAACCAAAACAGACCACTGGCTGGCTGGTTATGATGATGATCATGTAATGTGTCACTTGTACTAAAAGAGGTGTGTTCGTGTTCTTTTCCTTTTTTTTTAATTTTTTTTTTGAGCAATTCGTGTTCTCTTTCCTTGGTTGGTACTATTTATTTATTCGATAATGCTACGTAACTCAAATTTTGTGGCTCAAAAATGGTTCAAATGGCCAAAACGACGTCATTTTGAGTACAAAACAACATAAAAAATGGCCAAAACGACGTCGTTTTGGCCATTTGATCCACTTTTGAGCCACAAAATTTGAGTTACGAGACATTTTCCTTATTTATTCGTGCCTTGTTTTGGAAAGGAAGATATATATGTCCTGTTTGGTAGAATTTATTTCTATTTTATTTTAATTTTTAGCTTAATTTAAACTATTTTGATGTGTTTGGTTTAACTTAACAATATAATTTATAACTTTTTGTAAGTCAAAAATCAATTTATTCTTTCATTGGAAAGGAGAAACTCAATTTATAAGTCAAAAATCAATTTATGTTTACAGTTATAAGTTAAAAGCTGTTAGACTATAAGTTATAATTACTTTCTTACAGTTTTATTAAACAGGCCAATAAAATGAGGTCAAAAGATGATTGACTAATATTATATAAATATTTGTGAAAGAAGACCCTTTTATCTATGTTTACGTTGCCAAACTGTGACCTGAACTCTCTTCGATTGTTTAATTATTTTAAGATAAAAGACAGGTTTTCTCATGTCATGCGTGGTCCATTCCATTGCATAACCTACAGAGAGAGAGAGAGAGAGAGATTCGCACGCTTTCTCATGTTAGAGATTGAATCACCTCTTACATGACTCAGCCCTACCACCAAACAGTTATTTTGTTCACACTTTTGAGTGTCAAATAGTGCACACATTTTAATTGGAATACAATAATAAAGCTTGATCGTTACACTTTTAAATGTGGATATCACATTTTTAGAGCTTGTTTGGAAAGATGTTTTGAGCTAAAATAATCATATAAGGCAAAATAAATTATTTTAATTAAATTGAACAAAATATCACATCTAACCTCTAATTAATTTATTTTTTTTCTTATAAAAATAAAAAAAATCAAAAAAAATTATTTAAAACGAAACTTTTTAACCCTAGACAAAATTACCAAAAAACTAATCCACATTCCATACGAACTTAGATTAATCATATTTTATATATTATTTAATTATTATAAAAATGTATGAACAACTTCATTTTCACCACTAAAGACCCCGTGGCAAAAGAATAATGGATTATTATTGAGTCACATGCCCAACATCGGAGGGAACTCCAAGCTAGAAGTTTACGGGAGATGTTACAATGTGCACCTTCAAAAATGTGTATATGATATGCCTTTCATAACTTTTTTACAAAATTTCATAACTTAAACTCAAAATGTCATAACTTTTTCACACTATAGAAGTCATAACTTTTTTTCATTGAAAAATATCATAACAAAATCTCACAGTGTTATAACAAAAATCACAAAATGTCATAACATTATCATTCCTAACTTTAGGGTGCACATCATAAATTCACTATTTATAACTTTACTACAAAATGTCATAACACACACATCACAAACAATCATAACATTCGTCATAAAAAATCATAACTTTTTTATAATGTGCACCATTTAAAAGGGTGCACATTGTAAATTTCTCCATATATATATATACAAATACAGGCGACATATTTGCAATCCATTAATAACTTTCCATTACCATGTGCACACATTACCATGTATTTATACGAGAAAATAATTTATAACCGGTACATGTGATGTGACCAAAATGGACAATTTTACAATTTTGACAATGCGCTAAAATAGTTTAAAATTCAAAAAAAAAAATACTATAAAAAATTAACTCATATCTCTATTTTGTATATATCTTTTTGTAAAAAATCAATTAAAATAGACAATTTTCAAAACAATCAACAGTGTCAGTTTTTCACTCATTTGACATTTGGTAAAAAATAAGACCAAAGTTTAATGTAGCCAAAAACTCAGCAGAATGGGCCACATAAAAAGTGATTTCTCGAATCCCATTATAATCAAAGATCAATTAATGACAAGATACATAATGTTATCTCGGCTACGTGACTTACCTATTACACAAAATATTTTCACGTGGTTATACAGGCAAGGCAGGGACGACAAAAAAAAACATGGATGAAGTAAAAAATGTCTGGCATAAAAAAAAAAAAAAAATATATATATATATATATATAAAGTGAACAAGTCACAAGGTGTTCTAAAAGTTTTTATCTCTTTTTGCCAATTGTTCATTTTTCTATTAAAAAAAATAAATAAAAAGAAAAAAAAGGAAAGAAGTGAGGCTTGAACCTTAGACTTAAATGTGATAAAGAAAAATCTTACCACATAATTGACACAAAAACTTTCTTCTATACAGCTTTACGTGTAACCACTTTATTGCAGAGACACCATTTGCACCCAACACATAACTCGAATTATGTAATCAAAAAATAAAAAATAAAATACTCAAAAGAAAAACGAGCCACCATTGAAATTTATTTGGGTGCCACAGGAAGCAATATAGCAGTAAGATGTTAGATTGATGTATCACTTCACAACCAAGCTCCCCATCCAGGAAACATTTGGCACAAACGATCTGGATCAATAGCATCTTGAATGAGTTGTTGAACCTTCAAAGAGAGAAAACAAAAAAAAATTAAATAAATATTAGCACTGCAAAGAAATAGAAAAATAGAATGAACTAAATAGGCAAAGCCTTAATTTATCACTTCTTTGCCTGACGTTGCAAAGAATCAGTGAAATGGAAACAGAATTTTCCAGGATCTGTTTGGGTTATTTCTCGTCAGCAACCTGCCCATAACTCCATTGAAAAAAGGTGTACCACAGAATGTAAAGAAAATTTTACAAAAAATATGTCATGTTTGGCTTTGTGTCCTACAGGTTTTGAGAAATATTTGACAAGTGGTGTGTCATGTTAGCGTCCGACACGACACGCCACACCACCCAACCTTGGAAATATCCATGCTTCTTAGCTAATAACTCCGAATATGGAAATCGGACAATTAACTTGTATTCAAATGACACTACCTGTTTTAATACACCACCTACTACAACAATCCATTATACACAACGACAATGCTCACCACAACACCAAACTTCCAATAAAAGACAGGAAGAAGCCGAGATTTCTGTAAAACAGGCATCCGGGTTGATGCAGATGGTATTTGTACTCAAAACATTACCTGGCCATGCATGCTTCTCATTTCACCTTCTTCATATCCATCTAGCTTTTGCTTAACACGCATCAATGCACGTGCCGCATCCTTGTTCCCTTCATATTCTTCTTGTGAGTCTTCCAAGCTTGTCTCAAGATAATCGTCTGTTTCCTGTTGAAGAAAAGGAATAATTTTATGGAAGCAATAAATGCATATAGGAAAAACACAATATTGAAATATATTGTATATTTAAAACAAACAGCATAATTGGAAGCTATGGTGTAGCAATATTAAAATGAAGTAAAATGTCCGGCTATATGTATATTCTGAAAATGGAGATGAGAGAATCAAAAGTGATTGAATAGGAATATCCAAATGTGAGCTGGAGTAATGTGTGAAGAGGAGTCAAATGAAACTGAAGGCAAGTTTGGGAAGTCACAAAAGTAGCCAAAAAGTCAAAAGTCAAAAGTCATTAAAAAAGCAAAAAAACAGTACAAAAAGGTCAAAGATTCTATTTTCTCTCTATTTTTTGCACGTTTTTTTCGTAAAAAGCCAAAAAATATCCCAAACATACTAGTTTTTTCACCTCATATTTTAGCTAAAAAGCCAAAAAATATTACTAAAATAGCCTATTTTCAAACCAATCCTGAAGTAATATATCTGAACTTAAGCTCATAGGAGATATTAGATCATCAATTCTCCAAGAAAACTTAATCAGTTAAGAAATCGGCTCAACAAAATATAAGTTATCTAACAATCACCACTAGTTCCAAATGCTTAAGCAAGTATGAACAGGACCAATCAAACAATAAATAAATAGATAAATTAAAGGCCTAAATGGCACAGACGACTACAGGCATTGTTCTCTGCATAATTTCCGAGTTAAGTTCTTAAATCTGGGAGTTGGCTTTCTTACTTGGGCTTACTCCTTCCTTAAAATGCTCCCTGTCAATTGTTCACTTGGGCATACCATGTGTCTATATTCTTACACTAAAACAATGAACTTACAAAGCCATTAAATTTTATAATGAACCATTGTAGTTCTAATTTTCCCACATGTTCGGTTACATCTTCAGCATATTTCCTATCTTTTGTGATCCTGCTCTCCTGAAAGGAAAATCAGAAGCTGGCCAGAATGCATTCATGTATAATCAGATTGAGAGACAGTGGAGTTACCTTCTGAAGTTGCAAAGCCTTCAAAGGGGATAAAGCCCACTTATACAAAGGATCATGGATAAAAACCTACAAAGAATTCCCATACAATATCAAGCACTAGTACATAACTATGTTATTCCATAAAATAAAATAAAATAAAATTGCTGATTAATCGTACTTCAACAATTGTTAGAAGTGCTTCTTTATTTGTTCGCATAACAGAGAGAGTTTCCTCGCAACATCTTCTGAAAACCCCTTCCACACCAGTGACACCCATACCATCTATGATGTCTCTTGTCAGTCTAAAAGGGACCTACCAAAAATTGTTTACAGTGCTGAAAGTAAGATGATTATACTAAATAACAACTGCTAAAAAAAACATGGTGAAAGGTCAAAAAATTATTCAAGGATGAAATAAACAACCCGCTCAGGTGTTTTGAGCATCAACCCTTGCTCAAAGGCAACACCAAGGTCTATGTGAACAACTTCAGCAGTGGCTTGATCCATTATGATATTCATAGAATGTCGATCTCCAAGTCCAACGATGTAACCCACCTAGATTTGAAGTGAAAAATTCAGTATTATGAGCCGCATATAACAAATTTTATCTCTAGTCATTGCTAGATAATTCAATGTCCAGGGTTCGCTTTCTGATGAGCCCAACTCGGTCGGTTCAACTTCTAATAAACACACACACACACACACACACACATATATATATATAAATGTTTAATGAGTTTTTAGCATTCAATAAGGTCAACTGACACCCCTGAATGCAATGTAGAGCCGCCTCTGCTGATGAAAATAAAATGTAGTTACCACAAACCAAAATGAGAAAGAGATCATCCAGAAAAGGGAATTGCAAGGTCGAATTGAATGAGGAAACTCGGATTTTCCTTCCAGTAGATGAAGATCAATTATTATGCAACAGGAATAATATAATACACCTACCATTGAACTAGCTGCCACACTGCGTGTATAAGCGAGTCTCTTCTCAAACCAGTCAGCCGGATGTAAAAATCTCTCCAAGAAAAAGTAATGCATGACAGGCCTTCAAGAGAGGTCAATTAAGGAATTAAAGCAAATGAGCAAAAACATTTGAAGACTAGAAAAATTCAAAATAGGAACCTGAAGTTCTGACAGACTTCTTCAAACGCCTTGCGCTTGTTGTGTTCCTACATAAGGAAGAGATCATGATAATTATTTAATTTGTGTCAGTTAATGTAATTAATATTAAATTTTTGACCAGCTTTGTCCTTTCACTGATGCTGAATGACTATTAAGAAATCCATTCAACTATTTAATTGATCTCAAACTAGAATATATGGAGAATTGATTCAAAAGAGAAGATAAAAAATATCAAGGAGAATAAGAATCGAGAAAGTACGTTATTTACTAATTTCCCAAACTAGGTTAAAGCGTGATTGCTATTCACTTTCTTTTTTTTTTTTAAACGTTATTACTAAACACCTTTTTACTTGAATGTAAACACTTGGGAAAAACAATGATCTTCAGAAAGTGTCATGTGCTGGGCAAAAAACATGATTAGCGATTATGCCTTTTAAGAAACATGATTAGCAATCATGCTTTAACCGCTTTTGAAAAAAATGTTAAGTTTTGGACAAGTTATTTAATTTTTGAATAACAAAAAACCTAAATGAGTCAAAGCCCCTGTTTTAGAAGTAAAAAATCTAGTATCTTTTTTTGGAATCCTAGGCCTAGTTGGTAAATGAAGTCTCTAAAGTCTATATTGTTAGAATAGGAAATAGTATTAGTTATATTTTTGTTAAAATCCACCTACTCTCCACCTACTTCACCCACTTAAACCTACTCCACTAAACCTAACCCACTAAATCCACATACTCTCCACCTACTTCACCCACTTAAACCTACTCCACTAAACCTTGACTGGTGTAATGGGCCGGCCCATAATTTATGCCTTATGGCCTAGGAAGCATAGATACGGATATAAAATACGGATACGACACGATACGAGTACGGCGATACGACAAAACTTAAAAAAATAGAATACCGATATGGCTAGGATACGTTTGTGAAAAATATATTTTTTAAAATTATTAATAGTGAGTTACACATAAACTAAAGAACGTTGAGAAACCACAATATAATTTTATAATGCAAAATATTAATCTTTAAGAATTTTGTATTAATTTAAGCTAGTAGCTTGTTTACTTTTAAAATTTTTAATAGGTCTTGCAAATATTTCATTTCAATATCAATTTTAATATATTTATATTACAATAATAGAACAATTCACAACTTGTCCCTATGCTTCTTCCTTTGACACTAGTGAAAAATGTTGTATTAAAGTTTACTTGCTTATTTATTTATTGATATTTAATTTTACCATTGTTATATTCTCTTATTAATTCTTACTTTCTATGTAGTTATAGGGGACATGCATGAAATAATTAGGATACATCAATTTGATAAATTTTATTATTTAACTCACTATGCTCTTCTTATCGAAGAACTTAACAAAGTATTAGAAAAATATTCTTATATTTATACTTGCAATTATATTATATTATATTATTATGCAAGAAATATTACAATTCTAACTTCATAAAACAAGTAAACATGGCTTGAAGTATCCAATACTTCAAAATTAAATATCCGATATTCCAAAATTAATGAAAAAATAATTAAGAAGTATCTGATATTTTTAATAAGTATCATATACGTATCCGCGAGTATCCAAGGAGTATCGGTATCCGATACGGATACGATACGGATACGCCACCCTATTTGAGGTATCCGTGCTTCATAGCTTATGGTACTCCTGTAATTACTCATTATCATCAATATAAAAGGGGATGAGGTCTAACTCATTCTCTTTCTCTTTCTCTTCTCTAAAACTTACATGGTAACAGAGCCACAAACCTAAATCCCTCCACCACACAACCACCCGTCAGCCACCCATCCAGTTTTGACAGGTGTAACACCTTTCCTCAACCCAGTCAGCTACCGCCGAAGGGCTTCTTGGCCCAATCGCTCGCTGCTGAGGTCTGTCGGAGGCAGCCCCAGCCTTATCGATCGCTGTCGCAGGCTGCCCAACCTCGTTGGTCTCCTCCAATAGGCCTCTTGGTCTCGTCGCTCCCTCCTGCCGGCTGTCCCAGCCTTGCCGAGTCATTTGACAGCCCTAGCCTAACCTTGCTGAGTCATCTGATAGCCCTAGCCGACAGAAGGGTATCTCGATAGACCTCATCGACTTGTTGACAACCCATGTTTTTGCCTTCCTTTGTTGTTTTGCTGATGTAGCACCCAAGTTATTTAAACATTCCTCTTTACTGCATCTTAAAACCAAAACCAAAAAAAAAAAACTGAATTCTTAATTCTTTATGCTTTTATAGTTACTGTTGTGCTTGTTCTCATCTCATCGTCCAGGTTTGTGATTCGCATCGTATTTGAGGAAAAGTTAGTAGAGTCTCCATGGCGGATTTGACTAGTGAATCTACTACCTCTCAACCATCTCAGGGCAAGAGTTCTGTTATTCCTTCCACTATGATTGATAACTTCAACACTGGCTTTAAAATCACCACCTCCCTATTCACTGGTCAAAATTACCTAGCATGGTCGTAGAGTTTGCCTATTTTCTTGAAGAGTAGAGGGAAGATGAGATATGTTGATGAGAGGGTTCAGGCACCTAGGCCTGGTTTAGGATACCCAAAAAAATTCAAAAAGTTAAAAAGTTACTAAAAAAGTTAAAAAGTTATCACTATTCACCAAAAAAAAAATTTAAAAAAAAATTAATTTTACACAAAATTGTTACAAACAACTCTGATGTGCCACAGAGTTGAGTTTTTTGGAATGCACAGGCGGGGTGCACAAGCAACCGTTAACTATAACATCATCCATTTTTTTTTATACAAAACTGATTTGATCATGTAGTTAGCGATATCTGATCAAGGTGATTTTTTACAAGAATATAATACTCGACGAGTTTTACACATTGAACGGTTCAGATTATCAAAACGGAACCCGTGAGGGCCCCCACGGGCCGAACAACACCGTCTAATGCAATGCCCGAAAAGTAGGCAACCATTTTTTATCATCAACTCACCTTGCCCAAACGGACGTCCGTACTGCCTACTGTCCTTATTTTCTCCTACATACTAATTTATTCAATTTTTTAATACACATTTTTTCGTAAAAATTCAAAAAGTTAACCCAAACAACCATCTTTTTTCTCTCAACTTTTTAGTCCAAAAAGTCAAAAAGTGTACTTATTTAGGACACCCCAAACAACCCCCTAGTATCACAGACCCTTGTTATGACTAGTGGGAGATCACCAATTCTCTGATTATGGGCTGGTTGATCCATTCTATGGTTTCGGAGGTTGGAGAGGGCTATTTGTCTATGGACACCATCCAGGATATTTGGAAAGCCATAGCAACTACTTACTCCAGGAAGGAAAACTTCTCACAGGCTTTCGAGTTACGTCGCTCCATTGAGAGATTGGTACAAGGTGAGATGACTATCTTCCAGCATTTTACTTTCCCTAGCAATGGGTGGTGTGAAGAGATTCTTGTGCCACTACCACCAGTGATGGAACAGATAAAGGATGTTGAGCCAGCAATTGTTGTGGAAAAGAAATAAGGCAAAGTTTAAGTCAGGGACAAAAATAGACAGAAAGTCACTTGGATGCAAAAGACTACTGTCCCTCCTCTACTGCCAACTTCTTCTCTGGATGAGTGTCCAGTCATCCCTCTCCTAAGAGTACAGATAATTCTAATACTAATGCTCCTATTCCCGAATTCTCCGATCTTGATGTTCCCATTGCTAATAGGAAGAGGGTTATGTCATGTACTCAGCATCCTCTTACTAATCATGTCTCTTATTCTAGTATGTCTCCCTCATATAAAGCTTTTCTATCTAAAATTTCTTTTGTGAGTTTGCCTAACAATTTTCAAGATGCTCTCTCCATTTCTGAATGGAAACATGTCATGATAGAAGAGATGAGAGCTCTCAGCAAGAATGGCATGTGGGAGTTAGTGGAGTTACCTAGAGGAAAAAAATCCAGTTGGGTGTAAGTGGGTGTACATACTTGAAACACAAAGCAGATGGTTAAATAGAGAACAGTACAATGCAAGACTAGTTGCTAAGGGTTTTACTTAGACTTATGGGGTAGATTACCAGGAGACATTTGCACCAGTTGCTAAGATGAACTCTGTGAGAAGACTACTCTCTCTTGTAGCAAATTCGGATTGGCCATTTCATCAGTTTGATGTGAAGAATGTCGTCCTTCATGAAGACCTAGAAGAAGAGGTCTATATGGATATTCTCCCTGGTTTTGAGGATGCTAGGTCCAAAGGTAAAGTATGCAGGCTCCGGAAGTCACTTTATGGGCTAAAGCAATCCCCTATGGCTTGGTTTGAAAGGTTTGCTCAAGCTATACTGAGATATAGGTTCAAGCAAAGTCAAGCGGATCACACCTTATTTGTAAAACACTCCTCACTTGGTAAGACCAGAACTCCTATTGTCTATGTTGTTGATATTGTTTTGACAGGAGATGATGTTGAGGAGATCCCTTAGTTGAAAGAATACTTAGCCAAGGAGTTTGAAATCAAAGACTTAGGCAATTTGAAGTATTTTTTGGACATTGAAGTAGCTCGGTCCAAGGATGGCATTTTCATATGGCAGAGGAAGTGTGTACTTAACTTGCTAAAAGAGACTGGGATGCTTGGAGGTAGACTATGTGATACACCTCTAGAACTAGGCCAAAACTCATTGAGAATCAAGGGGGAGATCCGGTGGACAGGGGGAGATACCAGAGGCTAGTGGATAAGCTCATATACTTATCTCACTCACGTCCAAATATTGCCATTGCAGTGAGAATGGTTAACCAGTTTATGCATGCTACTAGAAATTTCCACTTAGATATAAGAATCCTGAGATGCCTAAATGCTTCTCCTGGAAAGGTCTCTATTTCTCAAAGCATGGACATCTCAGTGTGGAGGCATTCACTAATGCGGATTGGGCTGGATCAGTCACTAACAGACGATTAACTTCTAAATATTGCACATTTGTTGGAGGAAACCTAATCACATGGCGCAGTAAGAAACAGAATGTGTGGTTACTAAATCTAGTGCTGAGACAGAATTCAGCGCTGTGACGCAAGGTGTATGTGAATTGCTATGGATTAGACTATTGTTGGGGAACTTGGGGATACATTAGACTGATTCCATGAGATTGTACTGTGACAACAAGGCCGCAATCAACATAGCTCATAATCCAGTTCAACATGACAGAACCAAGCATGTAGAGATTGATAGGCACCTCATCAAGGAAAAGTTCACTAGCGGCACCATATGTACTCCATTTGTGAAGACTGAGGACCAACTAGCAGATGTTCTTACCAAGAGAATAGGGAGCAAACCATTTCATGGCATTCTCAACCAACTAGGCATGTGAGATATTTTCGCACCAGCTTGAGGGGGAGCGTTAGAATAGGAAATAGTATTACTTATATTTTATTCTTATTTTATTTTCCCTTGATTGATGTTGACTGGTGTAATGGGATGACCCATAATTTATGCCTTATGACAGTCTTGTAATTACTCATTATTATCAATATAAAAAGGGATGAGGTCTAACTCATTCCCTATCTCCTTCTCTTCTCTAAAACTTACACATATAAAGTCATGTAATGCTTCTAATTTAAAAACAGTTGATATTTTAGATAATTTTTATCTTTCTTTCTATTTTTTTTCTGTACTTCAACAGCCCAAAACAGTGTTCACAGGAAGTTTCACAGCCCCTAGAACAGCCTCGAAATTCATTCCTTTTCCTTATTTAATTGAGCCCTAACCCTACTTCCATACATATTAAAAAATCCTAAATTTCTCCCTGGAGATCATCTTAAAAATTCCAAACTAATCCTACAAATTCCAGCTTTAAAACCCTTTATGGCATGAAATTGCAGACCTTCAAAGTTGACTTTCCCCAATATAAGAGAATAATACATTCTTGTACTACTACACGTTGACAATATGATTGACTCAGCGAATTCCATCAATGGCACTAACCTTCATGGAAAAACTTTGGATGGGATCCACAAGGGCAGTACAGGATTTATTAGGAGTATTTTCCAATTAGAAATTTTTTGGACATTAGAATATAACTATTTCAAAATAAATAAATAGTCTTCATATCAAGTGCTGGTTCTATAAGGTTGTCGCTAGTCCCGGGATTTTGAAAAGCATATCATACAACCGTTGTTGCAGGAAAAGAGGATAACATGCAATTGACAATAGAATTTGTTTTTGCAAGAGGTATTCTATTTGTGTGTCTGTGCACATGGATGGCAGGTAGGTGGGACAAATGTAGAAGTTTGAAACCCCTAGTTAAACTTTTCCCTTTCTTGCTTCCTGACTTACTAATTTGATAAGCTCCAAGTCAACATCTAAGTTATTCTGAGAAATTATGTCTTCTTTGACACACTAACAAATGAAACCGCTACTGCTTGAATGACAACAAATGAAAACCCAACTCATTCCACAAACAAAGCTTTTATTTATTTAAATCCCTTCATTATCCTACTTCTGTGATGGATTTAAGCCAATGTTTTCAACCAGACTTGACCAGATGGTTGGACCACAATCCATTCAGGTTTAACACAACCATTTTTCCCCCAAAAAACTGCTTTATCATAATCATCATTATCAATAATGCTACACTTTGACAAAGAGAAGCATATGGTACTTGCCTTTGCCATATGCTCCCGGCATTTAGGAAAAGTCCAGTCTCCTACTCCATACCGCCCATGGGCACCTCCATTCCTCGTGCTGCATGTTGAAAACATGAAACAATTCCAATATTCAAACATTTCAATGGTACTGAAAGTACTGGCTGCCACAAGTTTGCATAAAATATGATTTCTCTTACCTTCCTGTAAGGTATTCACCAAGAGGAAGAGTGCCAGTTACCCATTCAATAACACCAGCACTTGGAGTAAAAGGAACAACCTGTTTCATTAACGAGACATTTGAACAAATTTTATAAATATAATTTTTGTTTAAGATGAATGAGCCGAAAACACATGTTAGCACAAACAAATATATAATAAGGAAAAGCACTCAGCCATAAAGTTTCTCAAAAGATGACATATAGTGCAAAACAAGGGCAAAAATATCAAAGGTTAAAATGTGGATATGTAAGAAGAAGCTGCAAAAGGAAACATATATGTTGTACAAATACAGATCACAGGAAGTAATAAGGTCAAATAACTGTATAAAATATGCACCCAATACATCAAGACAGTAGTTTATTAAGTCAATCTATGAAGCATGGATACTTCATTTTAGTTGTCGTATCTGAGTCCAACATGTGTTGAACACAGACTCCTTGGACATTCGATATGATTCACAATTTAAGCATTCAATTCGTAATTTGACAACAACGAATTAGTGATAATAATTTAATTATTTTTCTATGTCATATGTAATATTTACTTATAAATACATATGCTTAAGATGTAAACCCTATGTCATTGAGTAATGATATTACAGCAGCCATATTTTGTCACTCTTCGTCTCCTGGTTTCATTCTTCTTCTTCTTCATCTGCAAACCTAACAGTTTCATATGTGGATCAATAAAATTAACCATGACTTAGACCTGCATGAACTAACAAAATCAGGTGAGTAGAAGGCCACAAATTTGTAAGGTTCTATAATTATATATGTAATCGTGTCAGCAGTGGCATGGATACATTTTGAAAAATCTAAAAACCCGAAGATATTGATTTGTGATTATGTATCAATTTTAAGCAGTAAATAATTCCAATCAAACAATCAAGACAAATCGACACAGCAATCTTAACGTGGAAAAACCACAATTGGACTGCTTCCAATTGTAATAAAAAAGCCACAGGCCAAAGCCACAAAACAATCCACTAAGAAGACACAAAGGAATTACACAAGTGTACTTTCAATTACCTAGTGAATCCACGCCTGAATCGAACCAACCCCTATGTGACTCTTCCAGCCTCATCTTCACCTCAGAATTGTCTTGCTCAACGTTGAATCCACAACACCAATGTCGAATCCACAACGATGAGCCACTCCGGAATCCACCAAAGCTTTGAGGCCCAAATTCCATGAAATTCGCCGAAGAACAACTCTCTCTTTTTTAAATAAAACAAACTAAACAAACCCCTTTGATATAATACACTCCATTCATGATTAAACTCTCACAGATATCAAAAGAAACAAGCAAAGAAGCTCTAGATGAAAACCATAATACCCAAAAAGAAGATCTAGAAGTCGTACGCTAAAACTTGACTGAACTGCAGCTTTTATAACAAATAGATCCGCAATCTCCGCTTGAGCGCAAGAATGGCCGCTCGAGCAGAGTGACTACAACGCATGACTAAAGAGAGTCTACGCTCGAGCGCAAGAATAGCTGCTCAAGCAGAAAAAAATAATTCCCTGTACTTTTGCAGGCGAGTGAAACTTCTGAAAGGTCGCGATCTCCACTCGAGCGTTCGAGAGTAGGAATGGCCGCTCGAGCGGAAAAACAACTCGATCCCCGGCATAGTCAGCGAAGTGGCAAGCAAGATAGGATTAAGATAAAAAACTCATCTACGTAGGCATAATTTGGATCGAATTCGCATCTAAATACTTAAATAAAAAATTGAATAAAATTACAACTGAAAGGAGTTTTGTCAAACGGGATTGCCAATAACAAAAACCTAACACATTTATTCTCAACGATAATAGGAACCTAATATGATTGTGAAGCTAGAGTCTACAAATATGCAATAATTTGAAGTAGCTGATCATTCCAATAAGAACCCTAAAATAAGGAAGTGCATCCAATTTCACATTCCGGCCATCTGAAGCCAACATCATAATGCTATATCAAAAGGGAGAAGATACCTTGTATGTACGTATTCCTAATCTCCTTTTCCATGTATCCCGATGATTGTGTAAAAAAGTGTTAACTAAACCAAAAAATTGTTCCATTACCTGCATATCATTGGCAAAATCTTATTGTAAGATTAAAGAAAAGTACAACAGGAGCGTCTAGTAGTCCAAGGAAAATATGCATAATAAACACATAAACCGTAAACATCTTTACCAAGAAGGTTACCAAGAAGTACCTTCCCTATAAGAACATAAAAAGAGCTTTAGATATATACTACGGCATATTTGCAACAGAGAAACAAAATATGAAAGGAAAATGTATCCCCCCATTATATCACTAGTGTAAATTTGTAAGAAGTACAAAATAGACTAAAAGAAGGAAGGTGGAGATGAATAATGCAATGCCTATTCGAAAGCCATGGTAGCATTTGCGCATTATTATTTTTCCAAAGTGGACAAATTCAGAACTCAATACGCTCTAAAATATAATCAACAATAAGCTCCAAGGGGTTGGTTCTTTTTTATAATCAACTTAGCATATCATTGATTAATTTTCTTAACTACTCAACAATAAGCTTGTACATTTGCAGATCTTTCCAGATTACTAACATATTCTTAAGAATAGAGAGGTTTCCTCACAATTTTCATAACCTGCTCCTTGCCTGACTGTACCTCTCCTTCTTCAATAATCATCCCCAACCCACCCACTCACCCACAATAAACCTAATAATTTTAAAGCTAATGATTTCACTCCATAGTTCAAGGTAATGATTACAAATAGAGTTTGAATTCATACGGCATCTTGTCTCAGGTCATCGTTTCCAGATTTTGCTAATTGACGGTATCTGTTACCATCTGAACCTTGGCATTCAACCACTTTCGGAGCATTTATACCATTCATCACCCTGCATTTTACCGATATGAAAAATCAAAGAAGTTAGTATCTAAAGTTCGTAAGAATCCTAAAACAAGACGCTAAAAATGACCGATAAGGGAGACCTACACTACTGATTCCGGTAATCCTTTAAAGTGTGGAAAAGAGCCTTCAGGATATTGACAACTATGGTCAACTGGAAAAGCAGATGTTACTACAGGTACCTGAAAAACCCATGTAAATACAAAAACTTTACGGTTTACAACCTCTACGGAAAAAATAAAGGAATCAGGAAGATAGAATGTCATAGTATATAACAGCACTACGATAAGGTTGAGGTCAATGAAGTTAATAATTCCACAGACAGGCAAAAGCATGGACATTTGTTTGATTGAAGTAATCATGCAAGACATTGGTTTAATATTTGTTTCTACTTAAATGAACGAATATGGAGTTCCAAAAGGGGAACATGAATCACCAGTTGCACTTGTCACAAAGTAGCATAATTTAAGAGGGGACTATAGGGGCTAATTGTTCTGTGGTACCAAGTAGTAGAACATAAATCACTTCCAAATGAAGGGAGATCCGGAAATGAACTAAAGACATCTATCATTTTCTTTGAATTATGATGTTACTGTCGAACAAAAGCAATACTATTGGTTATAGGGCTTACTTCCCCACTGATATTATTATTCCATTTAAGTGAATATGGCCGGGTATTTTTCTAAAATCTATACCTAAAGGAAAACAAGTGAATAAGTTGCTTGGTAAATGAACAGACATGATGGAAAATGCTATTGATTACAATATGAAACAAGAAAATACAGACATTCAAGATGTGGGAAGTTATTCATGGAGTCATATGTAAGAAATCATGGCAATTAATATCTTGCCAGCCATTTACAATGTACAGTGAGATAACCAAAACACCAAGATTCTAACCCTGGCAACCAACCTTTCCTTGGGGCAACAGATCAGCCTTAATATAGTGCATTTCCGCTAATACTGACAGTCAGAGGAAATATCCCATATCCGCTGATATTTAGGTGGCTCGGGTGTTCCAAACTTTGATTTTGTACCAAGAATTAATGCTGTAACAATCAAGAAGTTTCTTGTCCATAATTATAGCTCAAAATCTTTTAATTTGCAAAATTATGGAACCCCAAGTTTAGCAACTGGACCCAGAGGTCAGTAGATCTGTAGGGTTCTAAATATTGGATACTATGACCAAAGAGAGTGGAAAAAGTTTGCATGCCAATGAATCTGATTAACAATTTGACTAAGTTATGTGAGACTCTGCACATTAGGTCACTCAAGAGTGCCAATTAGGTAAGAGCATCCTCTGTAACCCAGCCACTGATGCATTTTGTGTCACTTTACAATGCAATCCGAAGCCTGGAAGGACAAACTGCATTAGATAGCTGACTATAAACTTACAGTTTAAAATTTTGTTTTTGAAATAAAAAATAAGTTTGGCCACACAGCCTGATAGCTGGATTTTGTATCAACCACTACGTTGGTGTGGTTTTCTCGAGTATCTTGGTATCCTGATTGTTAAAAAATTCAATAGAAATTTTGATAATATTAAGCTATGATTTCTGGCATATGGCATCATCAAAACAATTCCACCTCAATACCATTTTTCATGATGAGAATGCTATTAAAGTAACAACCAATGGTCAGTGGTCATTGTAGAAACAAAATAGTGATACTCATAGTCCTAATCAGAGTGGAATACTTACAAGTTCAAGCTGTCGAACACTGCGAATTTCTCTTGGCAGAGTAACTTTCTTGTTTGTATCCTGTTGACATGATCTCATTAATAATTCTAAACAAAACTCTTACGCAAGTTGTTACTGATAGTGGGAATGAATCACAGAAAAATAACTGAGATTCTAATACCAGAATTAAACAAGACAACAATGAAATGAAAAAAAAAAAAAAAAAAAAAGAAGTGAAAATAATTTCGGAACTATATGACTAACCTCTCAAAAAGAAAAGAAAAAAAAAAGAAGTGAATAATTTCGGAACTATATGACTAACCTCTCTTTTTGTTTCTAGTTCAGCAAGTTTGATGTAAATCTCCACCATTTGTTTCATCTATATATTGATTAAAAAAAGCCGCATCTTGCTTAAAAGACAATCAATAAATTTTGAAAGAATAAAACTTCCAGATATAATAACTTACGAGACTAAACCAAATGCTAATGAAAGTTACCTGTCCAATAATAGCTCCATGGTATGAAGACAACTCCTCCAAAAGGTTTTCTGCTGCAAGTTTTTTATCCATGTCCACCACAAATGAGTTTCTACTACGCTGCTTGTCCTTGATGCGGTCTCCATTTGCCAGGGCTAGAAGCTACATATGCACATCAAAAAAAGAAAAAAAGTTGCACAGTAAAAATTCATTATATAGACGTATATAATGGTTCTAAATTGCGATTCCCATGATTAGATTAAGAAAAGAAAATGGATGTCTACAGTAGCACTTTTGAAACCATTTGGTCAAATTGTACAGAACTGAGAAGTCTTTGCTTTAGAAGAACAAATATCATTCATGTCATTACATTAGGCTTGTCAAAATCTGTCTTTAAATACCTGAAAGATTGTGTGGTATGGATGGTCGATTGCCATTTTCTTCACAAGAGAAACCAAAGCAAACTGCACAAAATAAAAGTTTGACAACAAATGAGCTCAAAATTCTTTCAGAAAATAAAAAATAAAAAATTATAAAGAAATCAGTGGAAGTGAAGGAAAAAAAAACAAGTACCCGTTAAATTTTGTACCTGGAAACTGTGAAGCCCCTGACCATCTTTTGACCCCATTCTTGAAGCAATTTGATATACTAGTGGTATAAATTTGTAAGACTGAACCTGTAAAAATTTCAGGATAGTTAAACAAAACCACCTTTCATCGATAAATATTAGCTATAAGCAAAATCGTATGTCTAAAAATGGGATTCCAATGTTTGAATTATCAACAACAATCTAACAATACCACTCTTGATACCATTCTTGTGTACCTCTTTAATTGTGTTCAGCATTCCATTTACAACTATTTGCCTAGAGGAGAGACTGAACCACAGGGAAACAAGTCGAAATACCTGAAAGCAAAATCACATTCCGGTTCACTTGATAGTTAGAATAAAGAATGTAATCAAAGCGTTTGTTGTGTTAGTGATTTCCACACACTTGTACAGGCAATATCAAATTAAGACCATTTTCAGTTTTAACAATGTAAAAACAAATGACACATAATACTTTGGATACTCTCAAATTTATATTCTCAAGTTAATTTAGACTTTTACTAACCATTCTATTATGCAATTAGCTAATTGACATTTAACTTGGAAGAAGGTTAGGGCAAACAATACATACCACTCTAACATCATATTTGTCACCAATGACCAGACAACGGTTGTACCCCTCGAGTGCTACATTGAGGAAATTATCCCTGTCACCCTGACAGAATGAGGTAAATAAAACAATAAAATCAGTTCATGCCTGATATCAATATTAAGATTACAACAAAGTTGTGATAGAGGTAGACAATAAAGAATGACTGTCAGTTATCTGTCCACAACTGACTCATCTAACAGTGTAAGCTGCTTGAGAGGGTGCAACTTAACTACTTATATCCTCAACATACCCCCTCAATGGTGGCCAGAATCCCCAAAACGAGTAGATCAAACGAATGCAAGTACTTAAATTCTCGGGTTGGCAGAGACCAAATATTAACTACCAAGTTCCAACTCATCTAAAAGATTAAGTTGTTATAGAAGGTGTAAATTATTGCATCCAACAATTTGAGAACCTAGTCAGCTAGGAGGATTACTAAAGTTTCTGACAACATATGTTTGAGAATTTTCACTATATAAGAAGAGGAATACATTGGGAAAGTTGCAAGTTACAACCAACAAACGAACCATGTGAAAACATCTGCAGTGACACACACATACATATATGCATATGTACTTAAAAAAAAAAAAAAACCCTGTGATACTCCAAACATCCAGTTTCATGAAAACATTGGAAAGTGTCTATCTTTATTCTTTAACAAGATTCAACGTATGGCAAGTGAAAACTATAAAGCATTTTGAAAATTTTACTTCCATACAATTAAGAGAATAAACAATTTCTTCTTCTATATTGTACCTGCAATTTTTCAGCCTCCTCTTTGTCCATTGCGAGCTGCTTTTGCAACTCTTGTATTTTTACTGAATAGTCAATTTTCTCCCCCTAAGAATACAGAGGCAAAAATGATGTGACAAGGTTAATATAGCTCACAAGGTATTTTGTTTTAGTTTTTTCTTTTTTTTCTTCAAATAATGGGCATATCAATGATCAAAGGAGAACAGACAAGTGAACAATACTTGCCTTTGACGAACTTTTTAATCGCCTAATGAGTGCTTCCAACTCTTTTGTCTGAAAAAGTTACATAAATACATAAACTTTCTAATTTAGTTTTTTTTTTAAAAAGTCAGTTTAGTCCCCCATTGGATTGCAAACAGACCTAACCATTGGCATAAATTTGCATAAAGGAGCTGCTCTTAGGTTCAACCCTACAAACTCAAATTTAGCAGGACAAATTTTACTTCTATTCTTTCTTATAGCTTTTCCTTTTTATTTAAAACATGCTTGTAAAAATAAGTACCTTATGCTTTCTTAACCTCATTGCTGCTTGCCATTCATTAGAGTTGAGTCTTTCTTCATAACTCCTATACAGAGCATCGGCATAATGTGCAAGATGAAAATGTGTTTGGCTTTGTCTTGCGATAGACTTCTTGTTTGTATCCTTACGATCCTCAGCAAGTATAACTGCACGTTTCAGATACTTCTCTAAAATAGTTCTTGAGCTGCATAATCATCATCATATATTTGAAGTAAGAAAAAGCTTGTTTATTATATACAAAAGCATCAATATTAATATATACTTCTGGCTCATATTTATCGTGTATAACTAACTTGCTAGATCGAGTTTCTGCCAGCCACTTCCCAACTAAGCGGTACACATCAGAGACAACTTCACTCGACTGGTAATTTTGTGAGATATACTTTGCAAGGTTGACAGCCATCTCATGCTGTCCTTGTGCTCGCAAAAGCTTAGCTTCTTCAAGCTGAAAAAATATATATACACATCATATATGTTAATGCTACTCTACAAAAGCAGAACAAAGAAGCAGGGAAACATTTAAGATCAAATAACCAATACAGATACAAAACAAACACTTTTGTGAAGAGGTACATTACAGCTTTTGAAAGGAAGCCCAACTTTATGAATTGTCCTTAAATGTGAAATAACATCTATTTCATGTTGTATAGCAAACTAAATTTCAGAATCATTAGTTCATGACAGAAGTAACATAAGAAATATTCATGCATGTCATATGCACTTGCTCATCTAAGGTGTTGCCAAGGCAAAACTTTTCTGGAGTAACTTCAAAAGACTGCAAGAACATGATCTATTTCTTGAATGCTTGCTAAAAAATTAGAATTTAATTTGTTCATTCAAATGCCTGGCAATTAGAATAATGGTACAGCACCAGAAATTCACAGAAAAATCCAATAGCTTCTTGGTTCAGATGCAGCTTATTACTCACTGCCACTAGATGATGTTGTCCAAAAGGCAAAGAAAGCTGTGCATGGTCTACCCCTATGAAGCACGGATACTCTAAAAGAGGTGCCATACAAGTATCGGATACGTATTGGATACCGATATACCAAAACGCGTTCGATACGGTGGGATACGTATCGAATACAACAAATAAGTATACGATTATTTTATTTTATTTTATTTTTTAATTCCGGATACGGGAGGAAAACGCAAAGGATACAACAAGATGCGCAACGGATATGCCACAAATAAGTATTCAATTTTTTTTAATTTTTTCTAATTTTCTAATTTTTATATTTTAATACGCTAAATAAGAATATAATTTTTTTTTGCAATTTTTTTTATTATTTTATATTTATATTTTTTCAATGGTCAATACTCTCTACTCTCGTTCCTTTTTTTTTTTTCTTTTTTCTTTTTCCCTTGTCTATTAGGCTATTTTATTTTTATTTTTTCCACCTTTCTTTCCTTCTTCTTCTTTTTTTTTTTTTGGTTTCCCCTACACTGTTTTAATGTAAGTATTTCTTCACCAAATTTTTAATTTTCGGAACTTTAATGTTAATATTTCTTTATTTAATAGGAATCCTTCTCTTTATTTATTAATTTGCTTTAGGTTTTATTTTCATGCATATTACATTATTAAAATTATAAAAAAAATAATTTTGTCTTATGAACGTATCCCCACTGTACCCGTGTCCTACTTTTTCAGATTTTGGCGTATCGCCATATCCGTATCACCGTTTCCCATATCCATATCCGTGCTTCCTAGGTCTACCCCACTTCTCTTTTGACTTAAACCAAAGAAAAATTCTATGAAAGGATAAACCGAAAGTTCATACCCTTCCAAGCCAATATAAGGTAGTATTCTGTTCTCCCGCACCAGCACAGAGGAACTTGAACTCATGCAAAGCTGCAGCAGCCTGAGAAAATCTAGAACCCTATAAAATATAAAACAACATATCAGACCATGGGAATAAGCTTGATTTATTGATACTGAATGTCAGAATTCCCAAGATGATACCTTGCGAAGAGTGGATGCAGAATCCAAAAGATGCTGCACCGTACAGTCTGTACAACGTAAAGTTTGAAGGAGGGCCCTTCTGAATGCTATGAAGGGTTCCAGCAAATTCATGTGCAGTTCTGCTCGTTTCAAAATGCAGTTCCAATCCTTATTTAGCCATGACAACTAGATGGATAGATTCAAAAGCATTTGTTAGGAAACCAGGAAAATAAATAAATGAATAAATAACACCCTACAGTCTTCTTTATCCTTCTGTATTCCTTTGAAATCCTTTGTTTTTTTCCTCCATCTTTGGTATGCAACCAAAATTAAAGCACAATTGACTAAAAATAGTGTGCTGTCCTCTTAACTCATACAACATATTGATGGTAGAAATGGTTTTGCAAATAGTTGCCTTCTGAAATCCATAGAAGGCCGCCATCAACACCATCCTATAATATTCACACAAACTAGGTCATATAAAAAGTAAATCCTGACATACGCCACTGATGCATTTGCCATCGACCAAGTAAATTTCACAACTAAGAAAAGTGATCACATGTTTAAACATTAAACAACACACAACATAATCACAAAACTATTTGCAGCACATGAAGAATGATTTCCAGTCATGAGACATAACATTGAAAAATATAATACCTGATCCAGGGTAGGGACAACAGGTTCAGATAACAACTTTCGCATCTCAGTACAAGATTTCATATTTTCACATAAAGAAGTTGTCCAGCGCAAATCCCATGCCATACCAAGATGATAAAAAATCTGCATTTCATAGTATAACAGAAAGTTAATACAAACTTTATAGCAAGAACTAGAATAATATTTATATATGCATGCCTGTATAAATATATGTGTGTGTATATATAAACATATACAAAGCTCAATTATTTATTTCTTGCGGTCCGTGGCCCCAAGAGTTGCTGGTGAGGGGAGTCAAACCTGAGACCTTGGAGGGAGCAAACCCCCAAGTCCCAAGCCTCATCCACCCGGCCAAACCCTTCGGGTTCGTTCTCTGGATTTCTAACCATACAATTAATGATTGTCAAAAGCCTGTTTAATTTATTTGCATATACTTTGATGACATTCAATAATTACTAGTACAAACAAAATACAGTGCATGCCATCCAAAAGTAGTTTTAATCACCAATTTCCAATCTTTTTTACTTGTTGTTTGATTTCTCAATTTTATTTTTTCTTTCATGATTATTTAGTGGGGAGCACATCCAATCTCTAATGATTGACAAATCATAGTTGAGCCTATGGAGCATGAATCCAGAATGCCAGTTGCTCCACAAGCAGAAAGCAACACATGAATGAGAAATTAGGAACCCAAGGTGATGTTTTGGCAAATGAGATTCATGGCAGGAAAGGAGGAAACAAAAACCTGAAGCTTAATTATCGTTGAATAGATGTATTCAGTGCTCTCTTTGCTTGCATGGTAGATGGACAAAACGAGTTCCTGACAGAAAGGAAACAACCAATTAACAGTCAAGTTATATGTGCTCCTCCACATAAACCAAAAACAAACATGTAGTAATTATCACCTGCTTTGAATCTCTCAATCTGGAATGAAATTCAACAAAATCCCCCTCTTGCAATGCCCTCAAACAACTGACATAAAACAGGTAGAAATAAGAAGATTTAGTGCAAATGAAAAGATTGCAGATGTCAAAAGTGAACAAAAAGTCTGCCGGTGTGTGTTTGTATGCAAAGCCACTTGCATAGCTCAAGCCTGGCACAAGGCCCATACCTCAAGCCTACAATAGAGTGCCCTAGTTCCAAACTTGAGGAATACAAATCAAGCCCAAACCTATGATATGAATGTAATTTTAATAACAATCAATTAAATTTTATTGAATAAAAAATATAATATAATTAACATTATTTTATTATATACACAATAGCTTGTACATAGTCAAAACAAGCAAAGCATAACTGGATTTAAAGTATATAAAACGCGAGCCAGTGAAAGAATTGATCAGGCCTTTACTATTTATCTCAGACTAGTCATATGGCTATTACTACTATTTGTCCAAGTCATCTCAATGAGTGGCCAGAACTTTTGGGCTGGACAGGCTATTCAGCCCATGCTCCATCCAAAATACATTAATTCAACATAGTGTGCATTTCTTTAAGGGCTGCAAATGAATTAGGCTGTTCAAAACAGCTGAGGCCTGTCTCACTAAAGAGCTTGTTAGAGAACCAAACATCAGCCTATTTTCAAAACTTGTTTGTCAAATGAGACAAGCTTGAGCAAAACTCATGTGTATACCAGGACCAAGGGCATGAGATCTAATATGATCAACTTAATTCACATCTTATATGAATCCTTAGTAAATATAATAATTATTTTGACTAGTACATATAATAATTATTAGGGTAGATTACAATAAATTCCCCTTATGTTTGGAAAAAAAACAAGCAGCCCCACAATTTTTGCATAATTACATAAACCTCTCTTGAAATATAACTTCCATAACAATTTACTCCATAGCGTTAGTCAAACAAATGAAAAATGATGATGTCAGCATTTTAACACTAAAATATCTATTTTACCCTTGTTATCCATGTTTCCAACTATCACCTTTCTCTCTCTTTCTTCTCCCTTTATCTCAACCCAACCAGCTATTCCCTCTCTGTACTCACTTATTTAACGATTTGTCTTAATACCATAGTTGTTCCATAAATAGATGAAGATTAAGCAACTTCAAAGAAGTTGATATATGCTTGATAAATTTGAATACCACAGCACTCCACAGTGCTCTCTCTCAATTCTCTCCCCTTACTCGCACTACCACAAAGCTCACACCCTCCACTGCTCCCCTCTCTCAAACTCTGGTCACAAAATTTGCTGACAATCAATCTCCCTCTGCCGAAATCATCAAGCCGGTTCAGCCGATTCATTTCGTAAAAAAATCGTCGAATACAGAGCAGAAGCAGGACTACAGAGGCATCTGACAACGTCCATGGGAAATGTTCACAATAGAGATCCAAGATCCGAAGCGCTGGGGAAGGAGATTAGGCTTGGAGGGGTAAGAGGCAAGTAGGATTGCTTTCAATTTGCCTGTGCATGTCTGCAGTGCCGATGATGGTGACTTGGTTAGGCTGGTGGTGGGTGGTCGTGATTGATGAAGGTAGGTAATGGTTGGCACTCGTCTCATGGTGGCATGCAATGGCCACTTGTGTGCCTATGGTGGCTTGCAATGGCATCTCCAACAATGTGTTCTTTTGGAAACACGAAGGTACAAAGATAATTTAATTACGGAACTTAACATTATTAATACATCTGTTGTTGGAAGGGAGTTCCGTTTAATTATGCTACAACTGTGGAGCTCACTATATTTTTTCCAAACCTTAGGAGAGGTCAGTGTAATTTAAACTAATTGTTAACTAACTTTACAATCAATGGTACTAATATATTGAAGTTTAATAGTGGAATAGGCATTAAAACTCTCTCTCTCTCTCTCTCTCTATATATATATATATATTGTTAAAATTGAAATATTATTGATTGAAGTATTGATACAAGATTGTTGTATTACAAGATCGATTCATTACAATTCCTATACAATCTATATATAGAAGAAAATGTGGTAGTAGGTGTAGTGGAGGTGATAGTGGGTTAGGTGAAGTGGAGTGTAAAGGCCATTCTCTAAAGAACATTTATCAAAACATATGAAAAAAAAAATGTCCTTTCATAGATTTCAAGAATCTGACCCAACCTCAAGTTGAGTCCTAGTTGATTCCAAAAGGCTTGCTTAACTTGCAAGCCAAGGGTGCATGTGGTCCCTTCAACTGCATAGCGAGTCCAATCAAGTTTGAGCATTACCAAAATAAGCTAAGCCCAAACACTACCACTCTGCTTGCATTGTTTCTATTATTAAGATACAAAGATATGCTATTAGCATGATCCAACAGAAGATTAGCTTAGCAACACATGCTGTATCTGTTGGCATATTCATCCATCAAACATTCAGAGAGTCACATATGCTTTAACTCATATTTTAAATCTTGAAAACATCTATCGAAAAGTTGTACAATACATACCATGATAGTAAGTAGTAAAACATTGACTAATAACAAAATGTCAAAAAAATAGGTCACATGAAGATGAAATGCTGATGAAAAAATCGCATTATTTGGCAGGCAGTAGTTGTTTATCTCGTTGCTTACAAGATTTTAAATTATAGTTGATGCTAATTAAAAACAAATCCTCCAAAAAGTGTGACCCAGTACATGAGGTTCCCGAAAAAGCGTGGTCGAGGGAAGGCAAGATGTATGCAATGTTACCTCATTTCTAGAGAGGTGGTTTTCATGAGTCAAACCCAAACGCTAACGGCAAGCCCTTACCATTGGTCATAACCACCCTTTTAATTGAAAGAAATATTAGGGGAAAATACGTAATCACATTTAGCAGAAAAGTTAAAAGACAAAATACTATGGTGTCAAACATGAATTGCTAATTTAAAAAATGTAAAACTGACTAATAAACTCCTCTATTAGGTCAAACAGGCAGTTCATTCTCATCTAATGCTATTTGGAAATAACCATAAAAGATGTTAACCGATGACTGACCACTTCTATAAAAGCAAAAAAGAAGTTTATAAAAAAATGTGCTTGTGACTGAATTCATTTTGCAATGTCAGTGTTTTTAAAGGCTCAAAGCGCACCAAGGCACTGAAAGTCTCTTGGGGCCTAGGCACAAGGCGCAATGTGAGGCGCGGGCTTTATTGAAGCAAGGCACACAGTCTTACTAAAAAATAGATAAACTAACATAGACTAATGATTTATACTAGTACTAAGACATTTTTTTTTAAAATAAAATAAAATAATAATAATAATAATAAACAAAGACATATAATTGCAAACAAAAGACATATAATTGCAAAAAATTATATAAAAAAAAAATATATATAGACAAGCATGGAAGAGAAGCCAAAAAAAAAAAAAAAAACAGAGAAGGTGAAGAAGAAGACTGCTGCTATTCTCATTTTTGCATTATTCCATGTAACAGAGAAGAAGAAGAAAAAGAAGAACAAAGAGCAAAGAAGAAGAAGTAGGGGGAAAACAAATCAGAGAGCAAAAAAGAAGCAGAAGCAGAAGAAGAAGAGAGAGAGAGAGACTCGAAGTTGAAGAAGCAAAAAAAAAAAAAAAAAAAAAACAACCAGAGAAGAAAAAAAAAAAAAAATATATATATATATATAGCGACTCAAAGAAGCAACTTGAAGAAGGGGAAGGAGGAAAAAAAAAATACCTAGCAACCAGCGAAGGAAGAAGAAGAAAAAGAAGAAGAAGAAGAAGAAGAAAACAAAAGGTCGAATCGAATACCCAGCAACCAGCGAAGAAGAAGAGGAGGAGGAGCAGAAGAAGAAGAACAAGAACTTACCTCAATCGAAGTCGATAGAGACAAGCCCAGAGGAAGAGACGACACAGATTTCTTCGATAGATTAGGGATTTGAGTCGACTAATTTGGGTTGAGTTGCTTTGTATGAGTTATAATCCTATGTGGTTGGAACCTTTCGAACACAAATCAAAGCCGTTAGATCAGAATCATAAACAACAACAAAAAAGCCCTCTTAGGCTCGCGCCTTGCGCCTTTCAACGCCTGGCCAAGGCGCGCAACTTATTAAAAGCGCCTCGCTTGGGTCCCTTTAGGCGCACTGCTTGCGCCTTGCGCCTTTCACAACACCGTGCAATGTTATGAGTTTTTGTTTTTGCATCTGATTTCTTTAATCAAATCTCAAAGCATAGTGAAAATTCTCATAATTTTTTCAAAATTTCCCACATATGTAAGTATCATGAACATCATTTTACTCATAATTTAAAAGCTAGAATTTTAATATCCATTTCTCGTAGCGAAAGAGTTAGCTTAACCAGTTATAAACATGAATAGTCCTAGGTTACTTTTTTTGTTTTCCATTTATATATGTATATATATTTGATAGATAAGGAGGTTCCAATCAACATTAACTGAGCCAGGGATTTTGGATGTCAAACTGCAATCTATTAAAAGCAAGACCTAGTGGAACTACCTGTACAAATGTTCATGGAAATGATCACTTCTCATGTCTTGACTCAAACACGAAGAATTGCCTCCCATGTATAGTAAAGAGAAATCCCAATTTCCAGCACGCCAAGCAGCCTCATACTGCAGAGAGGTTACCAAGATAGGCAATGGTAATATCAGCCATAACATTAAGCAAGCACAGTTAGTCCCAGAAACCAAAAATACAACAACTAGTCAGTTATTCCCAGAAACAGCAAAAGAGAACATTGTAAACCGCATTACACTAAGTATGCATTTATCTGCATAGTATATAACATAGCATATTGTATGAGGCTAACCTGGAGTTCAGTGAATTCTAAATCATGCTCAAACTGGCCTTTCTGAGAAGTCAAACCTTGGCAATATAGATCCAACACATGAGTGCAGCCCATTTGCTGCAAGGATCTTATCAGCCCTTTGTATGGTTTCCTTTGTCTTATATCGACTTCCGAATATCTAACTGTTGGTTGAGAAAGTTCAGGAGATAATTTTTTGGAAGTACCGTCCATTTGTATCTCTGCCTCAGACCTTACTTGCAAATCATAATACTCCAAAGCTTTACTCCAATTTCCCTCGTGTTCAAAGGTAACGATTTGCGAGGTTAACTGTAAATGTCATCAGAAATAAATAAATTAATTAATAACATGATAATTTAATTTATTCAGTTAAAATATTGTGTATCTATGCATACAGTATGTATTTATCTTTCAGATGGTCAAACCAAATTGCAACAATGCAGCAAAATACTGTAATATTGTATACGAATATCATACTCGGTGAGAGATGATCAAACAAGTTACTCAGCTAACTACTAACATGGTTGGAGGAGAAATCAGGTTAGTCAGTAGATGAACTGCGGAAACACATAGGGCATGTTTGAGTCCAAAAATTATTGCACCGAAACTACAGTTCTTCTTTCCAAGCCAGTAAGAAAATAGCTGTCATTATGGGGCAGAGATTTTAGCTCTTCTGAAAGGCTTTGGAGGCCTTTTCTATGATTCCAGTTATGTTGTGGGTTAGGGTGCGCAAAAAACCCACCAAACTTCCCAAACCACTCCACCACCTGTGGTTTGAGAGTGTTGGTGGGTTGAGCTGGGTTGGGTGGGTTCCACACTAATTTTATGTGGGTTGGGTTGGGTTATGTGCAATTCAAAATCTTCAACCCACCAATACTTACATATAAATTAAATACCTCAACTCTAAATAGATATTCTCATTTTTTGACTCTCCACACTCCTCATTGCCCATGCTTCTCTCTGCCACTTCTTGAACACAAATATATTATCAAGCAGTTCTTTTATTTTGATTTTGTAGCTCATAAATATAGTATAAGGTTCTATATTACTTTAGAATCTATTCACATAATATGTCAGAATTTACAACTTGCCAACCTGTTCAACACGCCGGTTTTAGTCATGTGGCTTGGTGGTGGGTTATGAAATTGTCAACCCGCTGAGGGCAGTTTGGTTGTTGAGATTATTTCTCCCAAACCGCCCAAACTGATCTGCCCACACCCCTAGTGGGTTAGGTGAGATTTTGATCACATGCCTCTCAGAATGACACTCATTTTATGAAAGAAATATTGGACACAGTTTCCACTCTTGATGAGGCTGATACTAGGTTGGCATAGGGAGGTTGAAGTGGCTGCCAACAACTTGTCCAAAAGGGGTGATTTTGTTAAGAGTAAGGGGAACCATACTATCCATGAGGGGACTTGGGGCTATTCTTTCATAGTTTTACTCTTCATTTGATTTTATTCAGTTATTTCTTTGGGAGGGGGAACTATTATGTGCAATTATACAATTTCTTGTTAACAGATATATCATCCTTGTGCATGCTTACTTCCAAAACTTCAACCAAATTTTATTGTGTCTTATTAAAAAAATAATAATAAATAAACAAATAGAGGGTGTGTTTGGTTTGCTTTTGAGAGAGTGATTTTCAAAAAAAAATAAAAAATTGAGGAGAGAGTTATAGAAATTTTTTTGATTTGTTTGGTTGTATATTTTGAGAGTAGTTTTGGAATTTGGGAGTTTGGGATGATTTGATATTTTATTGTAATTGAGTAGATGTGTGTGAGAGAAAAAGTGATTGAGAAGGAGAGAGGAAAGAGAAAAAGTGATTGATTGATGTGTAAGAGAGAGAAAAATGATTTTGGAAATTTTTTGAGAAAAATCACAAACCAAACAAAATTTTGAAAAAAAATTTCAACAGTAACTCTCCCAAAAGCAAACCAAACAAGCCCAGAATCTCTATACTTATTGGCCTACTCTAAATACTTGGGAGAGGGCTTTGTTGAGTGGTCATCTAAGCTCCTCATGTCAACCCAAACCTCAACTAATCAAAGGTACACATATTGATAAATCTATTCCAACATATTGATAAAAAAATAATTACCCTAACCAGGACAACAAATCTGTGTATTATCATGATGCAGGAAATTTGAATAAGGAAAATAGGAGGACACAGACTTCTGTATGGCCTAAACAAAGATTATGTACAAGCCTGAGTGCAGACCCTAATAAATAACCATCTTCCTCTCCCAAACAAAGTGTTCACCTACATCCAAGTGACAACAGGAGACCATATGCTTTCCTCAGTGTCTAAAGTAGAGAAATGTGAGTATAGAAGTGATCAGAGCATAAGAACCCAAGAAGTAACAGTGACGCAGGGGATTTTGAAATAGAATAAGACCTAGAGATCACAAGAGATGTAAACCAGATAAAATTATTCAAGTTATGAATAAAAAACAAAGAAGCAATGACAAGTGGACGAGTAATAGCCATTCACAAATTATTATAAGAAAGACTGCACGCAAATCTGTAGGAATTAAAATAAGAAAATAGAAAGATAAAAGCTTAGTTTCCATATCTTCTATTCATTACCAGTTAAACAACAAAGTTCATGTCCCTTATAGATTTTTTTGAAGTTGCAGGCCGAGGGATTTACAAACTAAATCAGGATTCAATCTGAATCACAGAATCTGATTACTGCTCCATGCACAAATCATCAACTTGATCAACAATATGAAGTACATTACTAAACTTTACAACATAAAGGATCGTAACTTCTGTATATTCACCTATGAAGGTCTATTGTGACAACAAAGCAGCTATATCTATAGCTCATAATCCAGAGCATAAGAACCCAAGAAGTAACAGTGACGCAAGGGATTTTGAAATAGAATAAGACCTAGAGATCACAAGAGATGTAAACCAGATTAAATTATTCAAGTTATGAATAAAAAACAAAGAAGCAATGACAAGTGGACGAGTAATAGCCATTCACAAATTATTATAAGAAAGACTGCATGCAAATCTGTAGGAATTAAAATAAGAAAATAGAAAGATAAAAGCTTAGTTTCCATATCTTCTATTCATTACCAGTTAAACAACAAAGTTCATGTCCCTTATAGATTTTTTTGAAGTTGCAGGCCAAGGGATTTACAAACTAAATCAGGATTCAATCTGAATCACAGAATCTGATTACTGCTCCATGCACAAATCATCAACTTGATCAACAATATGAAGTACATTACTAAACTTTACAACATAAAGGATCGTAACTTCTGTATATTATATAGTTTACTGACTAACCTTGTGTGACTGGATAATCCCATACAGGCTGTCCAGTTCATTGATTTGAGTGACTGCTGAGACTAATATTTCAATGTGGTGTGGAAGCTGGCAACAAAAGAAGGGAATGAGAAGAGCGAAAAAGTTAAATTTCTATATGCATCCTCAAACAGTGAATAAACAATAAAAGGGAAATTACAGTTCAGAAAACCTTTCAAAAAATAATTACATATACATGAAAAAGTTTATAATTTTAATTATTAATATTTCAAAATTTACCATTAAATTGTAATTATTTTTTGAAATCACCACTGATTTGATATTTTCTCAACAATAAATGATGAAAAGTACATTTTTTGTTATAAGTCTATTTATCTAGGAATGAGTATACCACAAATGTGACTCAAACAAAGGTAAACCAAGATGGCACAATTTCAATTGTTAACTTACTATATCAATATGGGAGAAATCTGGGCTCCCCAATGTGAGTGTGTTAAAATGCTCCTCACACCAGTGCTCCACGTAGAGAACAGCCGTAAAATAAGCACCACAACTCTATTACACAAATGCAGAACAATTAGACAAATTGGGATGTACATAAGTTGTCTGAATAGCCATTTTTCTCTATGTATTTTTCACTTTATCTTCCTTTGAGAGAGAGAGAGAGGAGATTGTGTGTTTGACAAAGAGAGAGAGAGAGAGAGAAGACAGAGGGAGATATATGATAATACTCACAATTGCTGACTTCGCAACAAGAAGATAATCGATGGAAAGCCAATATACCTTGCACGATACATCAGCAGTCAGATAAGAACCAAAAATAACATCATTATTTATGCAATATAATAACAACTTATAAATCTATGCGACATGAATGTGTATACGCGTATTTCTGCAAGTAAAAGAGCTCAAGAGCATTCCTTGAGCTATTTATGCACCCTCAAACATAAATAATCATTCACAAAATGAAAAAAAGAAAGGGAGATTGGCATCTGTGAAATTTCACCTTTGTCACAAGAAATGAGTTTTTCAATAATGAGGAATCACTTCATTTTGCTTCAGAACAAGTCAATGGTTTTGAATCAGTGTTCCAATACCAAACTACACTTTGTCTCATAAAACAAGTTACAGTTGAAAAACTACAGTTTTATCAAATATTTCAACATTTACGGAAAGTTCATACTTCTGTCATTTCTCAAGTATCTATTAATTTGATATACTAAAAAGTTAAGCAAAGGTGAATTGGAGATCAAATAAAGTTTGCATATCCTAAGAAAGCCACATTAGATCTCCAAATTCTGGTGGAACTATAAAGTAGAATAGATGGTTGACTTTCATATTCTGCATATCTAAATACAGAATATGAGCATAAGAAAGGCAATCAAATAAGGGGAGAAGAAGTCAAATAATGCAAGTAAGAAAAAATAATACACAAACGAGCCGAAGAAAAGGAACACAATTAATAATAATAGCCTGAAAGAGGAGGGAAAAGGAACAAAATGTAAAATATTTCATGGTTTCTCAAATTTCAAATGTTACAATTCAAGTATTATTGATTGATTGATTGTTACAAGATTGATAAATTACAATTCCTATACAATCTATATATAGAATAAAATGTGGTAGTAGGTGTAGTGGAGGTGATAGTGGGTTAGGTGAAGTGGAGTGTGTGGTGAAGTGGAGGTAGGTGAAGTGGAGTGTGTAGTGGAGTAGGTGAAGGTAAAGATGGGAAATTCTAACAGTTCAGATGTGATGTGCCTAAATGAAGTGATAATATTAGTAGAGAACAGTAGCAAAATTACACTTTTGGGAGCTTGACATACATTCTTGGCCAGCTACGACTTTTAGGGCAATTGATGATCTAACAAGGTATTCATAACTTTGATTCCAGGAAATCCTAGGTTCAGAACTCTTCTAATTACAGGACACAGCATGTGCAGGACACACACACAAAATTATAGTTCTAGACATTTATTGCAAGTCATATGTTATATATGAATATTTTATAATAAAAAAAAAAAATTTAAAAAAAAAAGAAAAAAGGAAACAAATCACTATTTCTTAAAGTTCAATGAAGGGATTAATAGTTATAAATTTATAGTGTTTTTCCTTTATCATTGCATAAGTGATATTTTATTCAGACATAAAATGTGTTTCACATGTCTAAGCAATGGACATGTATGAGACATTTGGAAATGTGTCCAACACATGTCAGCAAATGTGTAATGAGAGTTGTATGACATCAATATACCACCTCCTTAGAAGTATTGTACTTCTTAGCATTTCGTTATTGTATGTTTTCTTTTCTTTTACTCCTTATACCAGTTATTTGCATTGTACCAAAGAAACCTACAAGGTTTCCCATATTCCAAAAGTTCAAATATCCTTAAAACAGGGTGACATCAATTACAGAGATCAGAAGCATTTCGAACAACTATAATTATTTAATTCATTTATTAGCCATAGTGAGCAAATATACATGAAAAAGCATACCTTGTCCCATAATGATGTTGCCATTACAAATGCAGTCGATGTAGCAGTAAAATCTTTTGCCTTCGCAGAGGTAGAACGGGATTTCAAGCCATAACTAGATGGTTTAGCATGCTGTTGAACCATTGCATTATAATCACACGGAAAATTATTATCATGTATTTGAGACCATATATCTCCAAAAAATTATAATGATGCAGACACATTAATATTTTAAAGCTACTCAAGCATAATTAATTGACATGATCAACAATAGAAATGGTGAGTAAGAATGGAAACTTGAACATATAAACAAAGCTGATGTAAAATGATACAAAGGAATGCATGAGCAGATATAAATGTTTGTTTTGAGTTTTCAAAAACAATTTTTGAATTTTAAATCTGTATTTTTTGTTTTTAGTGAACCCTTTCAACGTTTTAGTCAATTATTTATTTTATTCTTTAGGTGCAACTTAAAAATAAAATATTTGTGAAGAAATCTTTAAAAAATTCAATCAATACCAAAAAAAAAAAACAACAAAAAAAAAGAAAAAAAACAAACAAACAAACAAAAACAAAAACAAAAATGTACTGAATTTTTGTATTTTTAGTATTTATTGAATTTTTAAAACATTTTCACAAATTTTGCATTTTTTAAGTGCATCTAGATTAAGTGGATCTATAAATAATAATTAAAAAAGACCAAAACGTTAAGAAGGTACAATAAAAAAAAATGCAAAAATTACAAAAAAAAAAAAATTCCAGAGTTTGAGCCTTGTAACAAAATAAATCCTGAATTTTTAATTTTGTCAATTTAAACCCTAAAATTTTGATTTGTTTTCAATCTAAACCATTTGCCTATTTCAATTAAGTAAAATCAATATATGAAAAAAAAGAAGAAAAAGTATTCTAGTTATTAAACTCAATGAAAAGTATATTTTAGACATTTTATGAATACCTGCAATGAGTTTAATGATTAAAATATTCTTTTTTCATTGATTTTACTTAATAAAAACACAGACAAATGATTTAAATTGAAAAGATATCAAAATATTAGGGTCTAAATTGACAAAATTAAAAATTCCGGATTTATTTTGTTATAAGGCTCAAACCTTAGGGTTTTTTTTATGTCATTGTCCCAAAAACATAATACAAATTGAAGGTGGTGGTAGTGGCAGTCGTGAGGCGGTGGTAGTCATGGTGGCAGTGGTTGCAACAGTGATGGTAACGTGACACTCTGCAGACACTACAAAAAAGTGTCCTATACTTCTCCAACATGTTTTAATTAAAAATGTAAATGCATAATATCTGATACTTAACTGACACTTCTTGGACACTTTAGCGATATTCTTGAACCCTTCGAAGACAACCTAAGCCGTGAATATCTTCACAGTAACAATGTCGTGTATATTTATAATGCAATTTAACTCTAAATATGTTTTGAAACATTTATAACATGAATACATCATGCGTATTTCTATACATTGTTTTGCATTCTTTAGATTCTAATTATGGAATATATTAATTTTTTATTTTAATTAGTCTTATGTTGTTTTTTCATTATCTTGAAATGTACTTTTCATATATTTCACATATAATAAAATTACAAAACAAATAAATTTTTAACATATCCCAGGCATATCGTGTGCTGAATTTTTTAAAAATCGACGTGTCTATGCGTTATTGTCATGTCTGTGTCATGTCACATATCTGTGTCTATGCCACTTAGCTAACATATGAGGACAACTTTGCGAACGAAGTGGAAGGGCGAAAAATTAAGAACAGAACATTCCATTTTCTGTCACTTCACTTTGCTTTTTTCACAATGGAATAAGATTGATTTCTGTATTTTCTCTCAACCATCTCTTTTGCAGAACCAAAAGGAGCCTTTAACAATGTAGCGATAAGTGGGTTAAACAAATAATACATAGGTGTCATGTGTTACTAGGAGGATGCCAAACAGTGATTCACTCTGATTAGTTCAAATGGAAGGATGGTATTATATTGCTAAACCACCAATACATTAAATAGATTAAGAAATAAAGGCCACAACTCAAAAAACTTTATGTAAAAGAATATTGATGATGTCTACCATACTAACCGTTAAAGCTTCTCGCCTAATTGAAGCTGAAGTCGAAGTCCTATCAATGACATGACACAGTCGGAGTTCGTTAAGTGTGTCCAAAATGACCTGAATTGATTTCATCAACTTATTGGATTCTGACAAGATATTTTCCTGCACCTGCACATTCCGCAAAATAATTCTTGTCCAACAATAAAAGATACATGGGACCTTATAAGTATTGTAATAACTAAGCCCCTCAGTTATTGCCAGTCTAGGAAGCACGGATACGGATACGGAATACGGATACGATACGATACGGATACGGCGATATGACAAAATTTGAAAAACTAGGATACGGGTACGGCGGGGATACGTTCGTAAAAAATATTATTTTAACAATTTTTAGTAATGCAGTATGCATAAAAATAAAACCTAAAGCAAAAGACAACTTGATAAGAAGAAAGATTCCTATAAAACTAAGAGTCTTCAAGGTCAATAGCTTCAACTTGTTCCCCTTCATCATTGAATATCACAAGACCTTAGCTAAAGCCAAAAAACCATTCTTAAGTAAAAATTTCAGCAAATATACTTTTTTAAGTCATCAATGATAGCCTAGGAAGCACGGATACGAATATGGTGATATGGGGATGTGGATATGGCGATATGTCAAAATTTGAAAAAGTACGATACGGGTACAGCGGGGATACATTCATAATTTTTTTTTTATATATAATTTTAATAATGTAATATGCATGAAAATAAAACTTAAAGTAAATTAATAAATAAGGAGAGAGATTCCTATTAACCTAAAAGTGCTCAAACATTCATAAAACATCCAAAACTAAAAGCAAAAGCAAATGCAAATGCAAATTAAACATCATCCTTACATGCCAACACCAAAAAAAGAATGAGAGCAGAGAGAAGAAACGTGAGAGAGTGAGAAAGCGAGAGAGAAGTGAGAGAGACAACAAGGATACATCAATTTGACAAATTCTATTACTTTAACTCTCACTATATTCCTCTTATCAAAGAACTAAACAAAATATTATAAGTAATATATAACTTCGAGTATCCGATACTTCAAAATTAATAAAAAATTAATTAAGAAGTATCTGATACTTTTAAGAAGTATCCGATACGTATCCGCGAGTATCCGAGGAGTATCGGTATCCGATAAGTATCCAATACGGATACATCACCCTTTTTGAAGTATCCGTGCTTCATAGTTGCCAGTTAACTGAAAATATATACTAAAGGATCAAAAATGGAAAATATCAAATCAAACTAGTAATCACATTAGAAAGGTCCAAAGCAGGGGGAAAAAAAAAAATCTAAAAAGAAAAAGGCATGTCACCCAGGTTATTGCACGGCTCAACCAGTTTCAATTAACTAATGTAATAAGACTCACTATAAATGATGACATTGACTTCCTTTAGGACAAGAAGAATCAAAAGAGAAGTACGAGGACTAAAATGAATCCATATTAACCCATAAAGTTCTGGGTTGTGATTGCATTTCTATGAATTGAAGAATAAAGACATTGTGCCATGTGGGATCTTTGATTATAAAATGGCACCAAATCAACCAATTCTCATATTTGAATTCCATATGGGATTGAGCAAAAATTCAAAGACACCAGGCAACCAAAAGCCCGAATCACATATATGAATATATAAAAAAATATATATATATTAAATACATGTAAATTATTAGCAATTGAATGATGTTAAAATTATCTGGACTATTAGACTATACTCACCGTATATCATATACACAAGTAATACAACAAAAATCCCTATCATTTCCTTTTCTCACTCAGAAATGGTAGCACTATAATGGATGAGGTAATGAAAAATTTCTAGACTAGCAACCATGTATACTGCATTATGGTTATTTCCTAGATACTAACACCAGGAACAATTTAAATTGCAACAAATGATGCTGAATTAGGATGCAAATAAATATTTGAAAATAGGAAAAGAAAAGAGCCAGGAAGAAATGTGAAGCAAACGACATTTACAGTTAAGAACAGTTTGACAAAGTCAACAAATCAACCAAAATTGTTGAGGAACAAAAAAAATGTAAAACACCTGCAGAGAGATTATTTTGCAAGGATTAATGTCCAGATTCTTCCTTCCAGCTAGATTGACTACAACATTTGGCAATAAAAGCTCCGCAACTTCAGCCTTCAGCAATACAATATCTTGGCATAATCTGAAAGAAATATAATCTAAAGAATTAAATTTAAAAACAATACAACTAACTCTAAGAAACCCCCGAATATATACACTGGCAATGTCACAGCCCTCAATAGTTATTTGACTGAGAAGAAAAGGGATACCTCAAAATCGTATCATCACAATAACCAATAAGAGCATAAACAAGTGGACAAATCCATGTCTCAAAAGTTTTTTCATGTGTCTTCCATATGGTAGACTCCTCCAGTGAAATTTCTTCAGCTGATAATGACATCAAACAAGTTATGACATCTTAAATGGGTTAATAATGATATATATATATATATATATATATTCATGTAGCCGACCTCATTTGATGAGACTTAAGGTTTGGTTTGATTTGGTTTATATATATATATATATAGAGAGAGAGAGAGAGTAGAGTAATGATGCTCAATTTTAAAAAGTCAAGACAAATAACTATCCACAAAATAGAGCTTTCCAATGAAATAAATAAATAAATAAATAAATAAATAAAGTGAAAAGCCTGAAGTAAAGATCTTTTCATGCAATGATATTTATTACTAGATCCACACCCACTAAATCGAGCACAGCAGTGCTACCGTCCACAACTCAAAAAATTGCTCTCCAACGAAATAAAATAAATAAATAAAGCGAAAAGCCTACTTTGTTTAAATTCCTTCTCAAAACATCAATCTAAAACCAAACCAAACCAAACCAAGCCTTCAAGTCCCATCAAATGGGATCGGCTACATGAATCCTTCTTCTCCACGCAGCCCTATCAAAGGCCATTTCATTAGTCAAATTAAGTAGATTCATATCTCTATTTAAAACGCTAGTCAATGTTAATCAAGGCCAACCCCGTCCCCTAACACTTCCATCTACTGTTACAGCATCGCATCTCTTCACTACTGCCTCTGTTGGTCTCCGTTGAATATGACCAAACCATCTCAAACTATTCTCTCTCAACTTATCTTCTATCGGTGCTACTCCTACCCATTTCCGAATACACTCATTCCTAATCCTGTCCTGTCTAGTCTTACCACACATCCACCTTAGCATCCTCATCTCAGCCACACTCATCTTATCTACATGTTGTTTCTTAGTTGCCCAACACTCCGTCCCATACAACATAGCTGGTCTAATAGCCGTTCTATAAAACTTACCTTTTAGTCTAGTGGGTATTCGTTTATCGCACAATACCCCAGACGCACTTCTCCACTTACACCATCCCGCCTTAATCCTATGGGCCACATCTGCATCAATCTCTCCCGCTGTTGTGATAATTGACCCTAAATAACGAAAATGTTCACTCTTAGGCAATTCTTGGTTCTCAATCTTCACTTCTCCTCTGCTTTCATTGTTACTGTTACTAAATTTACACTCTATGTATTCTGTCTTAGTTCTGCTTATCCGGAGTCCTTTAGATTCAAGAGCTTTTCTCCAAATCTCTAACTTTGTGTTAACTCCTTCTCTAGTCTCATCCACTAGCACAATATCGTCTGCAAAAAGCATGCATCATGGCACGTCATCCTAAATATTTATCGTCAACTCGTTCATAACTAAAGCAAAAAGATAAGAACTTAAGGTAGATCCTTGGTGTAACCCTACAGTGATAGGAAATTCATTTGCCTCTCCAGCTGGCGATCTAATAATGGTCACCACCCCTTCATACATGTCCCTAATCACGTCGGTGTAACCTTTTGTCACCCTTTCTTCTCTAGCACCCACCATATTATATCCCGGGACACTCTGTCATATGCTTTCTCAAGGTCGATAAACACCATATGAATGTCTCTCAAAACATCAATCTACATTTCAAAAAATTAAAGATCATATGCCCACATATAGATAACACCATGAGCATACCCTGTGTCTGTGGACCCCTCCAGGAAATATTGTTGGCTCCACCCTTGAATGGAATGGAACCATGTCCATAATTAGGGAATACAAAAAAAGAAAAGGACAAAATATCTCTTTATCCGTAGAAACAAAACAGCAGGGAGGGCAGTGAACACGTTCCCAGGAGTAAACTATTCCTTAAAAGAAAATGAATTTCCATGTGAGAGAAATTCTTCCTAGAACCCTAAGGAAGATATGTCACAACTTTTCCTCAAAATTCACTATCCGTGTGTAAATAATATGGTTTCATATATATATATATATATATAAATATATTTTATATATGTCAAAACAACAAAAACTGAATAAGAATGATAGTGAATACGATATACACTTGATATAAAATTCATTTAACAAAGCAAAGATTAAACAAGGAAAAAAGCTAGGTGCATTATTGTTCAACGACATGCAACAAACTCCCAAAAAATGCAAAAGGAAATTAACTCATCAACATTAAGATCAGGGAATAGATGTACCAACAAACTTTCTCTCTTGATCCAATAGAAAGTTCTGAACAAGCTCCATATTGACACCCTCACAGTGGACCTACAACATAGACAAACATTTCAGGAATCACCAGTGCCCAAAAATAAATAAATAAGTAAATAAATGAAGGAAAAAATAAAGAAAGAAACAGCACCATAACTAAGCACAAAATAATGCTGAGACAAAGAAGGCTTGTTATGTTCAAAAGGTAAAAAGCAACTTTGGCTACAGAAAAGATAGATAAGTAGGTTCCACCAGTTATGCTACTTCACAAAAATGTGGACTGATGAGGGCCAAATTCTGCCATGTTCAGTAACGCAACATTTTTATTTTTTATTTTTAAATTCCATTAAAATCAGAAAAAGGAAAAGAAAGGATGAAGAAAATAAGTAGAGTCCATTAATTTAATTTAATTTTCTTGTTAAGGTAAGCAACTCAAAAAGTTTATTCACAAGATAAGAGGTGCAAAAGTTGAAGGCAGACAAGACGTGCACCAAAAGAAAACACAGAAAAATAACACATACATCTTTTATGAGAAATGCTAGAGACCCTCAATTGTAGACCCACAAATTCACCCACAATGATGTGGCAAGGGAGTTGGGTCCTACATGGTTGAGTACGTGACAAATCAACAGTGGACACCTATCATGCCACATCATTGTAGATCAACTTGAGGGGTTTTTAGTGGTCTCAAACATTTTCCTTAAGAATACATATCACAACTAGCTCTCCAAAACTGAAAATTTAACATGGCATAATCTGATCGAAGTTAGAAAGGAAACCTTGTCATTGTCCGATTCTTAGCAAAAGTTCCAAAGCATTCATTCAATTAAAAAAGTGAAAATCCAAAACATTAATAGCTTAATAGCACGATGTACACAATAACCATCAGAGACAACTAGATACTTACCTCAATGAGAGACCTCTCATAAGAATCAAATGATAGCAAAGCTCTTTGGCCTTTATCAGTCGAGAGTATCCCCTGTTTTATTAAGAAATTAAAAATACAAATATATTACGTTGTATAGACCTTGATCAGGTGGACTGGAAAAACAAGATTCAAGTAGCGGGCCCCAAGTAGTTGGGACAGGGCTTTATTGAGTTGAATAGAGATCCAAACGAAGAATTCCTCACAACATCCATGCTTGCATTCAAGAATCATAAGCAATTCAAAATAAACAAAGACAATAAAAGAAATTTAACAGTTTAAAGCTGAAAATTTATACAAATTCTGTCAGAACAGCACAGGCAAGCAATAAATAGTAAAATTACAACAATCAAGAAATGACAAAAGTTTTTATTTTATTTTTTTTAAAAAAAAGGAAGAAAGAAGAAATGATAAAATTACAAGTGTCATGAACACAAGCCTGAAAAAATCTGTATTCCTCTCGTCCATAACTTTGTCAAAATCCAAATGGTAATTGGGTAGCTCACACTCATTGTGGTTAGTACTGATAAAGTCAAGTCACAAAAGGAAAAGTCTCTCCAAAGAGCATGGTGTCCTTTCCAATGACAACCATGCCCTTCAGTAACACACAGGAGTTTCAGAGACATTAATCTCCTTCCATAACAATCTGTGAAACCAGAACATCAACATACATAATCACTTGAAAATAGTGCTGGTGTTCATTAGGAGATGCACACTAACTTCAAATGTGTTAGAATAGGAAATAATATATGTTAGAATAGGAAATAATATGATTTTATTTTATTTTCTCTTAATGGGTGTAAGGGGCTAGCCCCCATAATTTATGCCTTGTGGCACCCCTGCAATTGCTCATTATTATCTATATAAAAGGGAATGAGGTCTAACTCATTCTCTATTCTTTTCTCTTCTCTAAACCTACATGGTATCAAAGCCAACTCACCTCATTCTCTGTTAGCCACCACAACCTCAGTCGACAACCTTCTTTCGATCACCCAGCCGACAGTCGTTAGCCCTCCCGTCAACCCAACACCAGTCGGTGCCTCCTCTCCCTATTTCAACATCCCTTGGCTGATTTCAAGCCACACCCATGTCGTTCTAAGGGTCGTGGTTCACCAACAGTGCTTGGGTCAGCTTCACGCCTCACCTTCTGACTTTCTCTAGGCCTGTCGGCAACCCTAGAGTCCTCTTCTAGGTCTGTCGACCCTTCTGGCAATCCCGTAGACCACTTCTGCTCACCTCCCTGCCCAGGTTGACGTATTTTGTATCAACTAGTATGACCTTGCTGACCTAAAGTCTCGTTTTTGGTCTATTCCCTTATTCTCGGTTTTATTCTTTGTTTTCAATAAATAAATAAATAGAAAAAAAAATGAAGTAAAAAAAAAAAATTTGTTGCTGATGAGTTTTTAATTCTTTACTTTTCTTCGTGGTCATTGTGCTTGTATTCCTCCATCATTTTCCAAGTTTGTGATTGGCACTAGTTTTGTTGCGGGTTCGGTAGTCGAGTATCGCTGGTAGATTCTACAAGTGTGTCTACTACTTCTCAGGCACCTAACAGTGAGAATTCCATTATACCTACTACTATGACTAATAACCCCTTAAAATCACCACCTCTCTATTCAATGGTTAGAACTATCTAGCGTAGTCGTAGAGTTTTACTATTTTTTTGAAGAGCAGAGTGAAGATGGAGTATGTTGATAGCTGCTTTCAGGCACGTAGCATCACAGACCCGAGTTATGATCAGTTAAAGATTACCAACTCCCTCAGTATGGGTTGGTTGAAACATTCTATGGTCCCAGAGATTGAAAAGAGCTACCTATCTATGGGCACTGCACAGGATATTTGGGAGGTTGTGGCTACCACTTACTCCCGGAATGAGAACTTCTCCCAGGCTTTCGAGTTACGTCGCTCCTTTGAAAGGTCCATATAAGGTGAGATGACTATTCTTCAGTATTTTACTTTCCTTACCAATGGGTGGAAGCGGCTTGATCACCTTCAGGATTATAAGCCTGTCTGTTCCACTGATTCTGCTGGTTACTGGAAGTTTGTGGCCCAAGAGCGAGTCTTCAAGTTCTTCGAAGGTCTAAATGTCGAGTATGATCCTGTTAGAAGTAGAGTACTTGGCCTGAATGTGCTTCCTTCTCTCCAGGAAGCATTTGCTTTTGTACAGAATGAGGAGAGTCACCGCTCTGCTATGCTTCCTTCTGCTACTCCTGATCACTCAGCCTTGGCTTCTGCACCCTCTCGTGATACTCGTGGTTTTCGTCCTTTCTCTGACAAGGATAATCTGTTCTGTGACTACTGTCATCGACCTTGACACACACGAGAGACTTGTTGGAAGCTACATGGAACTCCCTCTAGTGGCCGGGGAGACCGTCTTGGTACTCGCAAAGGTAGGTCTGGTCAATCTAGAGGCCGAGGGACTAATGCTCGGGTACATCTTTCAGACACCGTTAAGCCACCATCTTCATCTCTATTTGTCTCCCCTGTTGCTGATGTTCCGGGGTTATCTGCCTCGGATTTTGAGATTGCTCTTCGCCACTTACTAGACCGTCGAGCCTCCACTTCTGCTACAGGTGCACCTTCTTCTTTCTTTGTAAATTCAGGTAACTTGACTTCCTCTCCATATGCTTTGCTATCTCATAAGACTGTACCATGAATTATTGATTCTGGTGCTTCCGACCATATGTTTGGCTTTTCTAATTTATTCTCCGAGTATAATCCCTCCTCTATGTCGGGAAAAGGTTTAATTCATGCTACCTCTTCCCTTCCTTTGCCTTCTGTCCTCCATGTTCTCAATTTTAGTGTTAATCTTTTATCTTTGAGTCGTATTACCCGTGACTTAAATTGTACCATGACGCTTTTTTCCTGATCATTGTCTTTTTCAGGACCTTGTCACGAGGAAGAAAATTGGCAACAAGTTGGCTCATTCATCTATTCAGTTACCATCCACCAAGGCAGACATTTGGCTGTGGCACCGTCGCTTAAGACATCCCTCTTTTTTATTACTTAAGCATTTATTTCCTTTTGGTTTTGAGGAAAATAATGTGTCAGATTTTCAATGTGAGTTTTGTCAGCTTGGAAAATAACACAGAGCCCCTTTTTATCCTTCTATTAATAAAAGTTCAGTTCATTTTCTTTGATTTATTCTGATGTATAGGGTCCGTCCCGTTTTGTGTCTTTAACCAGTTAAAAATGGTTTGTTACGTTCATAAATGATTGTTCCAGGGCCACTTGGGTCTATTTGATTAAAGATATAAGTGAGGTGTTTTCTGTGTTTGAAAATTTCCATGAAATGGTTTGTACGCAGTTCGGGGCGGTTGTTCAAATTCTACATTTTGATAATTGGGGAAATATATTGACTCTGGTCTTGCCACTTACTTCGCCACTTATGGCATTATTCACCAAACTTCATGCACTAATACCCCTCAACAAAATGATGTTACAGAACGCAAAAATCGTTATCTCCTTGATGTCGCCCGTTGTCTATCCTTTAAGATGCAGGTTTCTCGATCTTATTGAGGGGAAGTGGTTCTCACTGCCGCTTATTTGATTAATCGTCTTCCTACCCAAGTCCTTCACAAACAAACCCCTCTTCAAGTTTTGTGCGGGTCTACCTCTTCCGGGTTCTGTATTCCTCCTCAGACCTTTGACTGTGTTTGCTTTATCCATAATCATTCACACTCATGGTAAATTGGATTCTAGGTCTCTTAAGTGTGTTTTTCTGGGTTGTTCTGCCACCAAAAATGGTTATAAGTGTTATCATGAATCTCAGGCGGAAGTGGAACGGATAGAGGTTGTTGAGGAAAAGGAAGCAGACAAAGTTTATGTGAGGGACAATGACAGACAACAAGTCACCTAGATGCGAGAGACTACTTTCCCTCCTCTACTGCCAACTTCTTCTCCGGATGAGTGTCCAGAGTTGCCCCCCTCCCGTGAGAGTTCAGGTAATTCTAACTCTGATTCTAGTGCTCATATTCTTGATTTTTCAGATCTTGATATTCCCATTGCTACTAGGAAGGAGGTTAGTGAAGCTTGGGTAACCAGCTTGGGGTATGATAGAATATCACCCCCTATTTATAAATAAAGATTAGGGTTTACAAGAAACACAATTACAAGATGATCCCTGAAGGCATAAAATGATTACAGACCCTAATGTAACTTTCGGCTAATAAAATATGCTAACACTTTCGGCTAATATAATATGCTAACACTCCCCCTCAAGCTGGTGCGAAGATATCTCTCATGCCCAGCTTGCCTAATATTTCATGAAATGGTTTATTCCCAATCCCCTTGGTGAGAATGTCAGCAAGTTGTTCACCAAACTGGACAAAAGGAGTACAAATGGTACCACTAGTGAGTTTCTCCTTGATGAAGTGGCGATCAATTTCAACATGTTTTGTCCTGTCATGTTGAACTGGATTGCGAGCGATGTTGATGGCGGCCTTATTGTCACAGTATAACCGCATGGAGTCCGTCTGATCAATACCTAGATCACTCAACAATAATTTGATCCATAAAAGTTCACACACACCTTGTGCCATAGCTCTAAACTCAGCTTCTGCACTTGACCTGGCAACCACATTCTGTTTCTTACTCCTCCAAGTAACTAGGTTGCCGCCGACAAATGTACAATACCCTGAAGTTGATCTCCTATCAGTTACTGACCCAGCCCAGTCAGCATCTGTATAGGCTTCTACACGAAGATGATCATACTTTGAAAAAAACAGACCCTTACCAGGAGCAAACTTCAAATACCTCAAGATTCTCATGACAGCCTCAAAATGAATCTGATGAGGAGCATGCATAAACTGACTAACTACACTGACAGCAACAGCAATATCAGGACGAAAGCATTCTTGACATCAAACTGATAAAGTGGCCAATCTAGATTAGCTGCTAGAGAGAGAAGTACTCTGACTGAATTCATTTTAGCCACTGGTGCGAAGGTCTCCTGATAATCAATGCCATATGTCTGAGTAAACCCTTTTGCCACAAGTCTTGCCTTGTAACGCTCAATAGACCCATCTGCTTTGTGTTTCACAGTATATACCCAT